AATTAAGTTGTATAAATCCTAACTTAACTGGGGAGATTAAAATCCGGATATCTCCTTCCCGAGAAAGGAGACTTTGACCGTAGCACCGTGTCTCTTGAGCCGACTTCATTTACAGGAAAACAAGTGTATATTCCGGCTTTTCTCACAGCAAGGCTAAACATCCCAGAGCTGCTTATGCCAATGAGCCTGCTGTCAAATTTCAAGCTGAACTGAAACTCGTTAACTGAAGGGTCACAATCTGATGTGCGGTTTAAGAACAAGCTTCTTCACCTGACACGACATCTTATCCAGGCCGGGAATCATTCTTGTCCCAATTGGCAACAGAGTTTTTTTTTTTTTCGCGGTCGCGAAGGGGAAACCTGTTCGATTGGGGGAACGATTGTAGTAACAATTTCATTCGCGTGTTATATCACTCCCGCAAAAGAAAAACCACTTATGGGCTCATTATATAAATCTACTTTTCTGTATGTTTACTTTTCGCATGTTTCTCAGCTGACGCATGCACTGAGAATTCTCCAATCAATAAACTTACGCAATACATCCAAGCGACAGGTACTTATGGAACCATTTCCTATTCCATTCCATGCATGGCACTGATAAGTCCCCGCTTGGTTGCGATGAACATCGAACAAAATAAGCTGCTCATTGCCGCCAAGAACATCTCCTGTACCTTTCCATATCCATGTAATATTCGGAGGAGGATTACCAATAGCAATACACTGAAGATGTACGCTACTTCCTTCAGTTACTAAGCTAGGACACTGCAATGCTTGAGCTCGACTTTCGTCTGAAATAAAACAAACTGAGTTTACTTAAAAAAATAATCAATCAGATAGATAAAAATTCTTGTATTAGTTGATGAGTGTGGACCAGCATCATGATCGGGTGCTATGTTGAATCTAGAAGCATGGTCTAACGCTAACTTGAACATATCACGTGTAAAACACGTTTGAGAATATTTGACATAATATTTCACTTGAATTAGAATAAAGAATGACTTGTTTATTTCGAGAGCCGAGAAAGAAAGCCAATTGTGTTTGTAGCACAATAAACCCACGAGAGTCGTTAATGTTTTGACTGTTCTTTGCCGCTTTTAGCGACTTCATCGCTGTCATTTTCCAAAAGTTACGAACTTTGTAAGTC